GCGCCAGTGTTCCCTCTAAGCTGAGTTAGTGTGAGCTAGCTCACAGTTTTTTTAGCCTCCAGCTCACAGATTTTTGTCTTAGCTCAGGAAGGATGGCTCCAGAGCAAACTGATTTATGCAGCAGCCAAATGGCTCGCTCACAACTTTAATGCCAGGAGCTCACAAAGTAGGATTTTTGCTCCAGGACTCCACAGCTTAGAGGGAACATTGCCCCCGCCGCCACCTCCCTCGCCCCCCCGCCTCGTCCTCCCGCCCGGCGAAGTGGCCGAGAGAGCGCGTGGCCTGCCGCCGGCACCGGAGGGTTATCTGGAGCTTTTGATTAAATTAGCTGCCGGCCCCCTCCCCAAAAAGTCTTTAGCTACGGGGCTCTAGAGCTCCATTTAGCCTTCTGTGTGGTTTCATAGCAACTATAAATGCTTGACTGCAAATGGAAATCCTTGTAAACGAGAAAACTTTCCTTCTTGGATTGTCCCTATCTTGCAGGTGGCCATGCCAGGGATGCAGTTGGCGCTTGCCAGAGAGGACTGCTGACCTCCTTACCTCAAGGACTTGGGCACCTCCGCAGCCTTGTCCACCTAGATCTCAGTTTCAATCGCTTCAGTCTTCTGCCTCCCTGCATCATAGAGTTGGCTAGCCTCACAAGTCTCTTGGTGTGCCACAACAGCTTACAGGGCCTGCCTGAGGACTTTGGTCGGCTCACCAAGCTGACTTTCTTCTCTGCCATGAAAAATCAGATCAGCGGTCTGCCACAGAGCATAGGGGAGCTGGCGGCACTGCAGACACTGGACCTCTCTGAGAATTCACTGGACGCACTCCCTGAAGAGATTGGGAACCTGCAGAGTTGCACAGAGCTGGATCTGTCAGGAAATCGGTTAACAGGAATCCCCAGCTCTCTTGGTAAGATATGCACTTAAATCAGAGAGGGCAAAGGAAACAGCTCCTACTCCAGCTGGTAAATTATATTACAGCTGCGGTCTCAAGCAATGTTCCCTCTAAGCTGTGGAGTCTTGTGAGCAAAAATTCCACTTTGTGAGCTTCTGGCATTAAACTGGCGAGCGAGCAGTTTGGCTGCTGCATAAATTAGTTTGCTCTGGAGCCCTCCTTCCTGAGCGGAGACAAAAATGGGTGAGCTGGAGGCTAAAAAACTGTGAGCTAGCTCACACTAACTCAGCTTAGAGGGAAGACTGGTCCTAAGCACATGTTTAGGATCAAGCTGTACAGCTGACATTCCATACACTGCTACTAAGAAGTAAGTCTAGTTGGACACAATGGGAAGTACTCATACAGGACTGGGTTTGTTTATTAAACATTTCCGATCCACTTTTCAGCTGATAACTGTCAAAGTGATTTATGGTAACATGAATACATTAAAAATAATAAAACATGAAAAATGGTTAAGAATCACAGTACCTATGTCACCGTCAGCAGAGAAAAAGGTAGGGGCACCACCATCTATGGCTGAAAGGTCCTCTCTGAAAGAAAAAGAAAAATCACCTAAAACTGCCAGCGGGAAAGATCTGGCAAATCTCTGATGAGAAAGAGTTCCCTAGAAAGTTTGTGGGACTGAACAGGCTGTTTACTGAAAGTAGGCAGTTCTATCTCTGCTGCTGGTAGTGCCACCGGTAAAAGGGCCTTATGTATAGTAAGTATAAAGATAAAGGTAAAGGTTTCCCTTGCTCAAAAGCCAGTCAAATCCGACTCTAGGGATGCGGTGCTCATCTCCGTTTCCAAGCCGAACAGCCAGCGCTGTCCAGAGACGTTTTCGTGGTCATGTGGTCGGCATGACTAGATGCCAAGGCGCACGGAACGCTGTACCCTTCCCATCGAAGCGGTGGTACCTATTTATCTAGTTGCAATGTCTTGCTTTTGAACTGCTAGGTTGGCAGGAGCTGGGGCCAGAGGCGGGAGCTCACTCCATCATGCGGCACTCGGGTCTCGAACCGCCGAACTACCGATTATTATATTAGTATATTATTCATTTGCTATTAAAGACAGTTGTAGTTCCTGAAAGGATGATAAGGAGACATTTGAGAATGACTGCAAGAATATAACATGTGCTTCTTAATTATTCTTAAATCTGGGGTCCCATATTCAAAAAGGAGACAAACTGGGAACTCTTCTCTTCGGGACTCTAAGTTCTTAGGGCTTCCTTTCTGGTTTCCTTCCACCTCTTCAGTGGATGCTCAGCTGCACTCAGCATTCTACGCCACCTAGAATCTGTTCGGTCCCTGCCTCTGTGTAGGTGCCGGGGGAGTTCTCTGTAATTTACACAGGAGTTTTCCTGCATATCGGGAGACAGCCAAGTATATAAAAATCCATGCCTTGTCTGTGGGCATCCTGGCTTTGCCGCTGTCGTGGTTGGCAGAAACTACCCAGTGTAATATTAGCTATGGGAAAGTACAATAATGCTGGCACAGGATGCGTACCTGTGACCTTCTGCATAGGATTTGACACACCTCAGATACATGTGCTTTCCCCCCAGTTCAAAACTGATGGTTAACTGTCGCAACACAAATTGCAGCTATTTTGTGGAGTGTTTTTTACCCAATCTAAAATCATTTGAGATATGTCTCTAACACGTAGTGGTACTGTTTCCTATTTTCTTTCACTGAACTCTAGTAGACCTTGATTCATAGGTTTTGAATGGAACTTTTTTTTTAAAAAAATAACTTTTTATTTTTATAAATTTTTGCAAAAGGTAGCAAAATATAACATAACTGTAAACTAACAAATAGTAAACAAGAGCAATAAAATATTCATTACATTTGGTATTTAAAGCTAACAGAAAGCCATTACTCTATATCTTACTGGGATCGTCTTTTTCAACAAACTCAAAAGAGGGGAACCAGCGTTCTAAAAAACTGGATTGGTATAGCTGGTTTTCAGTCACTCATATTTGGTTGGAAATGTGAGAATAGAACTTTTAAAGCAAACCAAGACCCCTGTATGTCTGTGTATTGAAATAACACAGCGCAGTGGACCCCCTTCATATAGGAAAACATCCACCTAATGTTAAAGTACTTTGGAGTCCAACTGACTTCACAGTGGAAAAATAAATCACATGTTTAACTCTTTGATAATGAAAGGAATGGAATTATAAAGTGACTTTGATTACATTGTGCCCTTGGAATGTGAAGTGTTGCTCGCTAAGGAAAATGTGTGTTGTGCCTTTGAGTTATTGACCTCAAATGAAAATGTGAAAATATGAAAATATTGACCTCAAAGGAAAATGTGTGTTATGCCTTCGAGTTATTGACCTCAAGCGCATAGGAGGATTCTTTCCCATTAGATTTTTACCTATATGTTCCACATTTGCCAGATGCATTGCTGCAAATTCCTTTTTGCAGGTATAAGCAATTCTCTACTGTAAGCAGGTACAATATGAGGGCACTCTATGAAGTTTAGTAGTGATTTGTGGGTAGATAACTAGATGTTGTGCTTCAAGCAAGATCCCAAGAACTTTGTAAGGTATTCTGGGAATAAGTAGAGGAGGAGTTGTTATATTTATCAAGGGCAAGATTGATTTTTTAAAAATATTCCGGTTCCGACTTGCAGGCAATTTGCAGTTTCTGCAACGGCTACATCTTCACAGCAATCTTCTGGTGACAGTCCCCGCATCCCTTGCCCACCTTCCTGACTTGTCCAGGCTTGATCTGCAGAACAACAGACTGCGCGTCATCCCTCCAGAGATCGAGAGCTCTCCATTTGTGCATCTCCGCGGCAATCCTCTAGGAGAACCCGAAGTGCCTCTCCAGCCAGGTAAATTGCCTGTTATGCTTGATTTGTCTGACGAACAGCTGCTGTCGCTTTGATATGCTCTCCTATTAGACTGTGTTTTGCGGGATGCATGCTGACCGACTGAAGATCTGGTGCAGCCTGCATGCTTGATTTACATACACAGACAAACAGATTTGCATAATGTTTACTGCTATCAGCTTTGGTAACATACCTGCGTTACCTGCTTGTTTTTTTCTGTAACCTTGTCTTGGAAGACTAAAGCCTACGGAACCTGGGTGCATCTTTTCCTAAAAAGTAAAGGTAAAGGTTTCCCTTGCTCGAAAGCCAGTCGAGTCCGACTCTAGGGATGCGGTGCTCATCTCCGTTTCCAAGCCGAAGAGCCAGCGCTGTCCGAAGACATTTCCGTGGTCATGTGGCCGGCATGACTAAACACCAAGGCACACGGAACGCGGTTACCTTCCCACCGAAGTGGTACCTATTACATGAGCTCACTCCGTCATGCGTGTCCTGGGTCTCGAACTCCTTAACCACTTACCTTCCACAGCCCACAGTTCAGCCTCTTAACCACTTGAGCCACTATATTATTAATTTGGACATATGGAGTTATCTTATACCAAGTCACTACCAAAGCTGCTCTCCGGGGTTTCAGGCAAAACAAGTATTTCCAACACTTGCTGCCTGAGATGCTTTAACTGGATTTGTTCAGGATTGGGCCTGGCATGTTCCATAACCAAAGCATGAGCTCTGCTGTTGAGCCATGGCTTTCTGTAACCCTGCAATTTATGTTGTGCCATCAATGGGCTTGGCGCTTCACACCCTATGTAGGGTAACCCTGCATAGTTTCTTGCTGTAGCACCCCACCCCAAAAAACCACTGCTGTTATTTTCTGGGTGATTTTATTCACAGTCACTAAATTTGCGTAAAAACCTTCACCCCAGGCATTCACTGATTTTTATTTTTAACGTGCATGCTTGCAGAGTTTATTTGACGGAGAGCCATACCACAGGAGATGTGGTTAACCTTCTGCCTCAGGTGGCATAATATTTTGCGGGCAATCCTACTGAAATAAGGCCTACCGAAGTACCGTCTGCTTTCCATTTAGGTTCATATGAACAAGCCATGGTCAGACTTTGTTTTCTGGTTTATTGCAGATGACTCCAGCTCAGAAGAATTACGAACACTGTTTCTTGCCGCTGGTGAGGATAGGTATAGTTCTTTTAGCTTAAAGCTTCCTGGGTTTAGTTTCTGTGTCAGAGCCTCCTACTAATTCAGTTTGGGGATGGTGCCCAAATTGTATTCTGAGGACATGTAGAAACAGTCATTCATAAGAACATAAGAGGTGCCAATGTTGGATCAGGCCAAAGGCCCATCCAGTCCAACACTCTGTGTCACACAGTGGCCAGAAATACCAGTGCCATCAGGAGGCCCCCCAATGGGGCCAGGACATTAGAAGCCCTCCCACTGTTGACCCCCCCAAGCACCAAGATGACAGAGCATCACTTGCCCCAGAGCCCCTATCTATACCTTGTGGCTAATAGCCACTGATGGACCTCTGCTCCATAGGCTTATCTAATTCCCTCTTGAAGCTGCCCATGCTTGTAGCCGCCACCACTTCCTGTGGCAGTGAATTCCAAGTGTTAATCACTCTTTGGGTGAAGAAGGACTTCCTTTTATCCGTTCTAACCCGACCGCTCAGCAATTTCATGGAGTGCCCACGAGTTCTTGTATCGTGAGAAAGGGAGAACCTCTTTCTCTACCTGCTGTTTCCCATGCATAATCTTATAAACCTCAATCATGTCACCCCTCAGTCGTCGTTTCTCCAAGCTAAAGAGCCCTAAGCGCCTTAACCTTTCCTCATAGGGAAAATGTTCCAACCCTTTTATCATTCGAGTTGCACTTTTCCCAAAGCTATATTCATTCGTAGGCAGTTTTTTCACAGTTCTTATTATCAGGTAATAAGTCTCACCTCAAGCTCTTCTTGCTTTTTAGACAGTGATACTGGGAATGAAGCCCTCTGTCCTGAAAACCCTCCTTCTTAGTACTGAATATGCTACAGGGTCAGTGTAGTGTAGGCGTGCGCAGTCGGCTAAACCAAGCCCCCAAAATACCAGAATCGGTATTTTCCAGAATTTTTTTCCAGCTGGTTAGTGAATCGGCCATTTACTCAGCTATCTGTAAATGGCCACCCCGAATATTTTTGGGGGGCCGCTGGATAGCCACAGTTACAGTTCACTTTGGAGTTCACTCTCTGTGACTAGGCTTGGAGGAGGCCTTTAAAGGGACCATTGGAAACAGTGGAGGAGGGGGTACCTTCTTCTGGGGCCCATAGAATTGGACCCCTTTTTTGAAACTTGGAGGGGTTTTTGAGGAGAGGCACAAGCGGCTATGCTGAAATATGGTGCCTCTACCTCAAAAACCAGCCCCCGCCCCAGCCCCAGATATCCCCAGATCGATTCTCCATTGTAGCCTATGGGGACCATTGACTATAACGGTTCCTGTAGAGTATAATGGAGTTTAAAAAATATATTCGGCAATCCCAAATATTTCCCGAATCCCAATACCATACCGATATTGGTATTCAGGGATATTGCGAAATACTGATATTTTGGGGGTTCAATATACCTGAACTCGGAAAATACCGATTATTTTTGTGTGTGTGCACAACCTTAGTGTAGTGGTTAGAGTGCCAGATTAGGATCTTGGAGACCCAGGTTCAAATTCCCCCCTCTGCCGTGGAAGTTCACTGAGTGACTTTGGAATAAGTTGCAGAGCTCCCCCCGCCCCCCTGGTCCAAAACAGTTCAGTGGCACCTTTAAGACCAAGTTTTATTCAGGTACAAGCTCTCCCTCCTCTGTGAGGACAGATCTGCATGTCCCCCCCCCATGGGTAGCAATCCAAAACAGTCCAATGGAGCCTGAGCGGTAGGTGTTGCCTTCTGGCACACTTCCGGTGACGTCAGGGGGCGTGGCATATGCAAATAAGCTATGCTAATGAGCTCCTGCACCTCTTTTTCTATGAAATGACCCCTGATAATGAGTCAGATATTCCACCTAACTCAGTATGGCCTGCTCTGATGTCGGCAGACAAAAGTCTTTCTCAGCACTTGCTACCCAGTACCTTTTAACTGGAGGTCCCAGGGATTGAACCTGGGATCTGCTGCACGCAATAGATCTACTCCAGTGGCTCTACTGCTGAACTGTAGCCATTTTGAAAGAATAGCAAATTTGTTTTGTCAGCCATCCCCAGTATATTCCAGAATCCGGGGCTGTAGTGCTGCTGAAGAGGTTTAGTTCCTCCAACTCCTTTTAAAAATGCTACCTATTTCTTTGGTAGCTGAGGTCAGTGTTCCCTCTAAGCTGAGTTAGTGCTGGCTAGCTCACAGTTTTTTAGCCTCCAGCTCACACACTTTTGCCTTCGCTCAGGAAAGGAGGGCTCCAGAGCAAACTAATTTATGCAGCAGCCAAATTGTTTGCTCCCAGCTTTAATACCAGTAGCTCACAAAGCAGAATTTTTGCTCACAAGACTCCCCAGCTTAGAGGGAACTTTGGCTGAGGTATGTCGACTGGCAGCAAAGTCTGGATCTGAATGAATGGCAGGTAGGATACTTTAGCTGATAAGGTTGGGAAAAACTTAATTCTAGATGGAGCAAAAGTATACAGTATTGCAGTAGTCTTCTAACTGGGTTAGAATTCTGTCTTAATGCCTTTTGTCTGTTTTGACTTGGAAAGCTCATTGAAGAATAGTCAGTTGTGGCGTTGTGACAGCATCGCTGCTTTTTCCCCTGTTGCCTTAGGTTTACCGTGACTCCAGAAGGATGTCAAGTTTTCCTGACTTGCGGTGTCCAGTTTTGCTTCCCCCGGGGGGCGGTCGCTTCTTCAGTAACCATTTGCTTCCAAAAATGCTCCCCTGACCCCCAGTGGGTGACACTGAAACATCATGACATCCTACTAAGCCAAGTCCTGGAGTTGCGGCCACATGGGATTGAATTCCAGGAGGTAAGAGCTTGCAAAGAAAGTAGTGGAGTTCAGACTTCGAACTGTGCTCATGATCTAGAAGCTGTTAGCGTGACAAAATGGGGGGGGGGGTTTGGCTAGCCAAACCTGTGGCCACTGATTACGTTTGCAGGGGTCATTTCGTAGAAAAAGAGGTGCAGGAGCTTATTAGCATAACTCATCAGCATAACTTATTTGCATATACCACACCCCCTGACATCACCGGAATCTGTCAGAAGGCAACACCCACCGCTCAGGCTCCACTGGACCGTTTATGATTGCTAGCTATTGGGGGGGGGGACATGCAGATCTGTCCTCGCAGAGGAGGGAGAGCTTGTACCTGAATAAAATAAGGGTGCCGCTGTGCTGGTTGGGACCGGGGGGTCTGGGGGGAGTTCTGCAACTTACCTGGCTGCTTCTTGCTGTGACTGGAGGCTGCTGGGAGCAGGGGGTGGGGCTTGTTGCATGTGCCCGCCCCCTGGGCTCTTTACTGCCGGAGCTCCGCTCCTGTGCGCTCCTGCAGGAAATGACCCCTGCATTTAGGTCACCGATAATAATGGCTGATCTGCTTTGAATGAACCGCCTTGAAACGACAAATCAATGTTAAAGAGGTGTGACTGAATTTGAGCCAGGTCTTGGTGAGGCTCAGCCGCCATACCTGTGTAGAGAGTCAGGGATCAGCCCTGGAGCGCATGATGCAAGACTCGAGTGCCTCGGAACATGTGCCAGATGTGGGAGAGCCAGTTGTAGAAAAGAAGGGTGGGATTTCCAGTTCAGAGAGCCTGGTTCAGATGGATGTGAATCCAGGCCCATTCTAGAAAATAACTGCTGAAAGTGTCCCACGTCTTATTCTGTTCTAAGCGGTTTATTACGTTTAAGAACAATAAAACAAGGAAGCACATAAAGCCCGTTAAGAAAACAGATTTGTTAGAGTAACTGTTGGAAATGCAAACATAATGTAGGCACTTATTTCCATGCATGGTGGAGGTGCGCTGTTGTACGAGGATTTTGGCAAAAAGTCCACACGGTCGTTAAAGCATTAATGAAAAGGGACATACCATTATCCCCGGAATTTTTCTTGTTAAACATGATCCCGGATGACTATTCGGAAAGTGATAAATATATACTTACTTATGTGTTAACTGCAGCACGTATTCTTAATCAATGTTAAAGAGGTGTGACTGAATTTGAGCCAGGTTTTGGTGAGGCTCAGCCTCCATACCTGTGTAGAGAGTCAGGGATCAGCCCTGGAACGTGTGATGCAAGACTAGAGTGCCTCGGAACATGTGCCAGATGTGGGAGAGCCAGTTGTAGAAAAGAAGGGTGGGATTTCCAGTTCAGAGAGCCTGGCTCAGATGGGTGTGAACCCAGGCCCATTCTAGAAAATAACTACTGAAAGCGTCCCACGTCTTATTCTGTTCTAAGTGGTTTATTATGTTTAAGAACAATAAAACAATGCAGCGCATAAAGCCCGTTAAGAAAACAGATTTGTTAGCAGCTGTTATTAAAGGACTGTTGGCTCAAATAAGTTACAGTAAGCCACCTGCTACAAGTAATCTTCGCTTTTACCCTGGTGCCCTGGCTCCTAAAGCTCAAGGTAAGTACTAAGGTTAAATAACAGAAAATGAATTGCACAGAATAAAACCCTGTCACATTAAAAATCTCCCATCTCCCTTCCAATGTATCCCGGACTCCCTAAAAGCCAGTTGTGGGCATAGTATAAGTATGATTGCTACAATGTACGTTGCCCAGCCTGTAGACCAATGGTTCAAAAGTGGACATTCACGGCCTCTCCAATTCACAGTAGGATTTACCCACTTCCAGGGGTCATTTCCTGCAGGAGCGCACAGGAGCGGAGCTCTGGCAGTAAAGAGCCCAGGGGGCGGGCACATGCAACAAGCCCCACCCCCTGCTCCCAGCAGCCCTCAGTCAGAGCAAGAAGCAGCCAGGTAAGCTGCAGAGCCCCCCCCCGGCCCCCCGGCCCAAAACAGTCCAGTGGCACCTTTAAGACCAAGTTTTATTCAGGTCCAAGCTCTCCCTCCTCTGTGAGGACAGATCTGCACGTTCCCCCCCCCCCAATAGCTAGGAATCCAAAACAGTCCAGTGGGGCCTGAGTGGTGGGTGTTGCCTTCTGACACACTTCCGGTGATGTCAGGGGGCGTGGCATATGCAAATGAGTTATGCTAATGAGCTCCTGCACCTCTTTTTCTACGAAATGACCCCTTGCCCACTTCTGATGTCTGGCGTATCAGTTGGAATCTTCCCTCTTCTCTGCAGTAACTGTTACGCTTTCTCTGTCTTGGTGATGCAGTATGCCCAGTTCAGAACATCTGCGAAATCGTCCCGCTTGATTTACTAGTGCTTATGAGACTCAGGAGCAGTATGATAATCTAATCTTATTCCCACCCCAACTGCTGTCTTTTCCTGATGTCCTCCTCTTGATCGAAGTAAGCAGAGTTAGGACATGTTTCCTGTACTGTATTGACTCCTGCAAACTGTCTTGTTCTGTCTTGCCTGGTAGGAGGTGCAGATCTGGATGCCTTATGCCTTCACTCAGAGCCTTCATGAGCGTGAGGTCGTCATCCGAACCTTCAGTGGGCAGAAGTGGAGTGATCTAAGGTCCAAAGTGGAATGGAAAGGGAAGGTAAGCCAACTAGATTGAGCGTTCCAAAACCGACCAGTTTAAAGAGAGCACGGGTCTGTCATGAAGTGGAGTCCACAGCGTCTGCCCTCCTCTTCGTATTGGCAGGATATTGTCAGAACCCACAGCTAGGAACGGTTATACTTTTATTGCAAAGCTATAGATGCAGTTATAGGAGCTGCGGTGGCTCAAGTGGTTAAGACGCTGAACTGCAGGCTGTGGAAGGTCAGTAGTTCAGCAGTTCCAGACCCGAGTCTGCCACACGACGGAGTGCGCTCCCGTCTCTAGTTCCAGCTCCTGCCAACCTAGCAGTTCGAAAGCAAGAAATTGCAAGTCGATAAATTGGGACCACTTCGGTGGGAAGGTAACAGCGTTCCGTGCGCCTTGGTGTTTAGTCATGCCGGCCACATGACCACGGAAATGTCTTCGGACAGCGCTGGCTCTTCGGCTTTGAAACGGAGATGAGCACTGCAACCCTAGAGTCGGATTCGACTGGC